GGGGGGGGAGAAGGGGGCGGCGCGGTGCTGCAGGAACCCCATGAGGACGAGGCGCTCTGATTGGGCTCGTCCACTAATTATTACAGATTACGGGGTGAAGGCCCAAGTCAGGGATGCGCAGCATCGTCATCGTGTCATCTGGAAAAGAGTGACTGACAGTCGCTTTTGGTGAAGCGGCGTACACGTGGGGGGCGGCGGCGGAGGGCGCGACAGAGGCTAGGGCGGCGCGGACCGGACCGGCCGCCTTCGCGGCGGGCGTGAGGCTGTGGTGGGCTGGGCGTTCTAGCGGGCTGCCACGGCGGGTGCGGCGGGGGGCAGCGACTGGGCCAGGGGCTCGATGGTGGCTGCGGCCCTGGGTGAGAGCCTTGGAGACGGCATGGGCGAGGCCGCGGGGGCTCCTGCTGCTGCTGCCGAGGGCGCCGTCGTCCCGCGGTCCATGTGGTACAGGATGACGTCCAGGTTCTCCTTGACCTTGACGTCCCTGGGCGCGCCGTGGCCCGGCCGTCCCCAGAGCATCTGCCACGTCTCGAAGTGCTGTCGGCTGCGCTCCTGCTCCTCGGCGCGGCTCGCCTGCAGCACGGTGGGTATGGCGCTCACACACTTGCAAGACATATAAATTCGCAGTCGGGTCATCCTTGCCCGATACCCTCCGATACTCACCTCCATCGTACGGCGCTTGCGGTCGATCTGCGCCGCCAGGTCGCGCCACGTCTGCTCCTTCTCCTGACTGCGGACACCAAGGCGGGTGGTTGGTTGTTAGGGGCGTATGGGCCTGGCGTGGGCCTCCGGGAGGCTGGCCGGGACTATGGTGGGGACTTACCTCACGTCCTCCTTGACCTTGGTCACGTTGGTCACGTCCGTGGTGGGGAGGTGCGCCCCCTGGCGGCCCTGGCCCGCCCTTGGCCGCGGCGTCGGGGACAGGGGGTCGTCAGGGGCGCTGGGGTAGCGGCGGCGGTCGAGCAGCGGCACCAGCTCCACGCCAGCCTGTGAGCGTAGCGTAGCAGAGCGTAGCGTGAGCCAGAGATAGGCGATGGGCCAAGGCGTAGCCAAGGCGTTGAGGCTAGAGATGAGCGGTGCCTCGCGGACGTCGTCTTTTTCTGCGTTTTATTAATTGCTCAATATCATGCCCTCTGGTCGGCCGCGCGTCGGCGCTGCTGCGGCCGTCGGCCGTATCTGATGTCCGGCAATTTCTGCACTTCGAACGCGACGCGCCAGGGACGGATAACCTTCGATGCTTGCGACCCAAAATAAACGAAAAGAAGGAGCGGAACGACTTGTCAAGTAGATCATTTTGCCCTGCTCGAACTCGAACGATAAGGTAAAGAGAATAAGAAGCAGAGAGGGGCGGGAGTGACTGCTCTTTCTCTCTCTGTTCTTTCCGTCTCTCACTCGCCCGTATACTTCGTCCGCGCTGTACGCCCAGTCTGCCCAAGTCAGCCCCCTGCCCTGCCGGGCGCGGTCGCCCCACTCTATATACTCGAGAGAACCAGGTCGAAACCGGTTTATTCCCTCTGTGACTGGCGAAAATCCGATCCACCGTGGCGGCCGAGTGGCAGCCCATCCAGCCCAGCGCCCCGGTGGTGCGTCATTCCGTCATAACCGTGACGTGAAGTATGATGAATCCCAGAAATTATGATAATTTTTGTCCTCTATTGGCAAACAATTGCGCTATAACTTCAACTTCCTTTCCTACTCAATTTTTGAGCCAATTTTTTTTCGATAGTTGAATGTTTTCATTGTGCAATAAGTTGGGCGTCTACAGTCGTGGGCGGTTGGCCCCGCCGAGAGACGCCGCTCGGAGCGGGTGGGTCAGCGAAGCGCGCCACTTCACCCGAGCAGTCGCATGACGCAGAGTGTCGAGGGAAATGATCATAACGCGATACCATGTGGTCTTCCCCTTCACTTCCCCCTCCCTCTTACTCTCGAGCCTTGGCCCGGTAGCCCGGTAGTCTCCCTCCCCACCCCTCCGTCCGCGGCTATTGAATCGTTTCGGGGTCATGGCGCTTTTTGGCGATGCCCTGCGCGAGGAGCAGCGGGCAATAGGCCGCCGCCAACATGACGGCCATCTTCGCGGAATTCGTGGGCGCGCGCCCCGCTCCGCGCCACCCCGCGCCACCCCGGGCCGTGGCAGCGCCAGTGCCACTCCAATCAATGGGGCTCGCGGGTCACGATTAATCTCTGCCGCCCCGGCGGAGTGGGGGAGGCTCTCTACGCGCGCGGAGCGGCGCTGGGCGGCGCCGTGGCACCACCGGGTCCAGGAGGGACGGCCATCTCGCGGGACTGGCACGTGCCGGGCCGGCGGCACCGCCCAGCGCAGGAGGCCAGACGACCCGCGCAGTATACTGTCCCCCGTACTGTCCAGTGCTGTCCTGCTGTGACCTCCCTCGGCCGTGTCTGGGACGCGCGCATCGGGGGGAAGGATAGGGGGGGTCTCTGTGTGGGCCAAACGTGTGGGCCAGATTGGGGGAAGGGGGCAGAGGGAGCACACAATATCAAATCATACGATGAGAGCGACTGACTCTTCCATGCGATGCTCGCGACGAGCCCCCCAGCCCCCCAGCTTTCAAAGCAGACCCGCCGCCACCCCTCCTCACCCTCCCCTTCCCCGCTCACTCCTCTCATCCGAGCAGATTCAATTACCGACGGCCACACCAAAATTGGTGATTAAAGACAATCAACGGTCGCTGCTTCGGACGGACGACCGATTCCCGGTGACCGACCACAGGAGGGGTCACATTTAAACGGAGATGGGCGTCTCTCGCGATAGAAGAAATGTGTTCGTTCAACGATAATAATTTTAAAAAAGGAACAAAAAAAATACACTCTGTAGCCACACGTGCAGCAAGTAAGGGTCACATTTAAACGGAGATGGGCGTCTCCCGATGAAAGAAATGTGTTCGTTCAACGATAATAATTTTAAAAAGGAACAAAAAAATACCCTCTGTAGCCAGACGTGCAGCAAGTAAGGGTCACATTTAAACGGAGATGGGCGTCTCCCGATGGCAGAAATGTGTTCGTTCAACGATAATAATTTTAAAAAAGGAACAAAAAAAAAATACCCTCTGTTCTGTAGCCAGACGTAAGGGTCACATTTAAACGGAGATGGGCGTCTCCCGATGGAAGAAATGTGTTCGTTCAACAATATTAATTTTGAAAAGGAACGAAAAATACCCTGTAGCTAGACGTGCAGCAAGGAGCAAGTCGTTAAGTAATGGAACTTCCTAAAAATGGACGACATAAGCAAACAGTGCCTAAATTCAGGGGAGTGAGTAGCGATATTAGGTAGAATTGCCAGAGGGCTGACTCACGCCGAGCACTTACGCAGTAATACTACACATGCACGCATGCAGGGGTGTTGCCGACTCGCACGGGGCTATCAGGAGCCGTGGGCAGCGAGGATAGGCAAACCCGCCTGCACCCGAGCATGCGGTACAGTATAAGTGCACGGCGTGAATCAGCCGCCTGGTCTGAAGGAGGTATATACCAGGTGGCTGATTCACGCCGCGCACTTCTGTAGTTATGCTGTACCGCATTCACGAGTGCGGGCGGGTTGCCTACTCGCTCGGCTCGTAAGGCGCCGTGGACAGGGGCGATAGGCAAGCCCGCCCGCACTCGTGCATGCGGTACAGTATACCTACAGAAGTGTGCGGCGTGAATCAGCCACCTGGTATAGCCAGGCTGCGTAGATCGAAATCGCGATCTAGAGTTCGCAGCCGCGCTGCATTCAGCTTGCCGGCGCGGTCTCCGACGAGTACATCGATTTGGCAAAGCGGGCGGGCGGGGGCGGCGCCGCCAACGGGCCCCCGAGGCCGAGCCCACGATGCCCGGACGAAAAGGGTAGAAAGGCGGAAAGAGCGACAGCGGGAGCAAGAAGAGGGGGGCGGGTGGTGCAGGACGGGTTTGAGTTGAGAGATGGTTTGGAGACATCGGGGGGCTCGTGTCGTGACCCCGACGGGGCCTCGTGCGGCCTGGCACCGTGCTCTGCGCAGCTCTGCGCCGTGCCCCGCGGAGCCCCGCGGCGGGCAGGCCGCCGGGGATGTCCCACGCGCCCCGCGGCCACGCCGCGCCGCGCCGCGCCGCGCCCCGGCGCCCGCCCCCGCTCGTCTCTGTCGGTACTACGCACCCAGTTCTTGTCGCGTTGAGGCTGCTCTGCGTTAGACGCGGCGCTTCGCCGCCTGCGAGCCACGCTCTCCTGGCCCGGGTCATCCTGCTGCTGCTGCTGTTGCTGCTGCTGCTGGAGAAGTTGTTGTTTCTCGAGGTGCTGCTGCCTCTGATGCTGCTGCTGTTGTTTTTGCTGTTGCTGTTGTTGACGCTGTCGCTTCTCCTGCACCATGCGGTCTGCAGTGCAGATAAAAACAAATCAATCTCGCGCCATGAGGATGAGGACGACTTGGGCGGGCCTGAGGCGGACCGCATCAAACTAAAGTCTGAATATGAGCTACAAGGGAACGGGACCTTATTGGATAGTGATTACTAGTGGTTCTGGAGCAAAAGAAACTAGACGCGGGCTCCTTCTGCTCCCCGAAACCGTCTTTATTCTACTACATACAAACAATCGCAAAACACCGACATTCACAGGGAGTGGGGGGGGGTAAAAGAGAGTGATTTGGCGTTACATCAAAGAAAGCAGGGTTTGGTGTGTGTGTGGGGGGGGGGGGGTGAAGCGCCGCGACGGGCACCAAAGCAAAGTCACTTCGCCTAACCTCCGCCTTGATTTCCGGTTCGCCCCCGCTCCCTCCATGCAGGGAGACAGGGGACGAGCAGGGGCGCCTTGTTGAGGGAAGGGTAACCTTCGGGAGGGGGCCGGGGCGCGGCGTCGGGCCGGGATGGGGGGCTCGAGGCGGGTCGATGCACCTGGACGTCATGACGGCCCGACCTGGTGCGTTGCGCGCGTTGGCTCAGCGTCAACACCCGGGGCTCGAACCTGTTGTAGCCGTAGCCAGAGGGGTAGCATGCTCAGGGCTCAGGGTCCGATTCAAGTACTCGCGTTACACGGGCAGCGCCTACAAGTGCATCTTTGGAGAGCGAACGCGGCTGGGAAGGGGCGGGTCACTCGCCTGTGAGATTACGGGGATGGAGGTCTCATTGCAATTATTGCAACAACAGTGGAAACACGATCACAGTCGTTCTCCTAAGTCGAGACCGCCCCGACATGAGGCCGCGACCGTGGACCGCCTGGTGATGATGCAAGCTGAGCGCACGGCTGCCGGTTGGGTTGCCTACCCACCCGATGGCAGGCGCTTCTAACGCCCAGCAGTAGGCAACCCAAGATGCTGCTGCGACCGGCTCTACTCGACTCCAGGAGAGGGGCGAGGTGGGGGGTGGCGCAGGGCGGGGCAGAGCGGCGCCGGGTTGGGGTTGGGGGCGCGGCGGGCTGTTATCCAACACCACTTCGCGTGTGACAGCACAGCATCGGAGTCGCGCGGTACGCCGATCAGAAACAGCATCCGGCTACAACTTACGTTATCACCTTGTCACCGCCGCCATGCACCGACGAGCGTGCGGAACGAGAAGGGGGGAGGGGGGCATAGGTAGAGTCATGAGAGAAGGGCCCTTCTCGTGTAAAGCGGGGGGGGGGGGGATATGGGGGGCACTGGCGGGACGCTTGGCGTGTCCAGGGCCGCTAGTCCATGCAGGGCAGCGAGGCGCGGCCTGTTCGGGTTGTTAGCTAAGGTGTCTAGTCTAGGGGTTGCAGGTGGTGATTTGGTTTCCTTCCGCCGTCGCCAGCGTAAAAATTATGTACCGGTACCTCTAGCCTTCCATGTCATGCCATGGCCCGCACCAGATTCCTTTATGGTGGGGTGGGGTAGTGGAAGGTTTCGACACCTCCACCTTCAAGGTTCTAGGGCGTCAAAGGGGTGGGCAGTGGGCAGCTCGTAGGGTCTAGGAGGAGGGCCATTGAAAGGATTCGATTGTGAACTTACCCAGATCCCGGCGGTACTGCTCCTGCTGCCGCGGGTCGGTGCGGTAGCGAAGCAGGTTGTCGACGGCGCGGCGGTCGGCCTCCTGGAACTGGAACAGCAGCAGCGGGTCGCAGCGCAGGCGCCGGCCCTGCGGCTGGCCCTGGCCGCCCAGCTGCCCATGGCGGGTCTGCAGACGGGGCAGCGTGTGGCAGCCGGAGCCGTGCAGGTTGCCGTTGTGGAGGCCCGCCCCCACCCGGGCCCCGGCCCCGGCCGTCGGCGAGGAGGTGGACGAAGAGGGCGACGCTCCCGGGGACGTGGACGGCGGCGCGCCGTACAGCGTGTCGAGCTGCAGTGCCTTCCGCTTGCGGATCGTGTCCGAGTTGGGGGCGCCGCCGCCGGGCCGACCCCAGGGGCTGTAGGTGATCAGCATCTCCCGCAGCTGGAAGCGGAGCAGAGCGAAGGGGTGAGCGCGGCGCCAGCCTCGGCGAGCTCTCACAAACTCGCAAAACAATTAGATCAAAACATCCGCTGGGCCGACGGACGGGGCCGGCAGGGGCGGTAAGACTCACCTGCTTCTGCTCGTGGGCCTTCTTGGCGAGTAGCTGTTGTTGCTTGCAGCGCCACACGTCCAGTCCCTCTCTCATGAGGCGCGTCTCTGCTTCGCGACGTCGGCGGGCGGCAGTCAAGGCCCCCGCGACATCCATCGGGTCGGCGCCAGCCTCGCCGAGGGCCCCGCGCGGGCCGGGCCCGGGCCCGGGCGGGCGCGCCTCGCCCAGCAGCGCGGAGAGGTGGGTGCGGGTGGGCTCCAGTGTGCCTCTCTTTCTCCTCCTCTCCCTCCCTCCTCCCGCTCTCCTCTCTCCCTCCGGGCCCTGGTCCAACACGGGGGCGCCAAGGACGATGAGATGCCCTCCCCGCCCAGGAGCTCGCGGCGGTGGAGGCGGAGCGCGGCGGGTGCGGGACGGGGTAACGCCACCGAGGCAGCGGCGCGCAGTGAGGCGCAGCCAAAGTGGGCGAAGCCGGCGCAGCCTAGCGCACAGCCTTACCGCGTGGGAGTCGCTCCTACCCGCTTGCCGCGGGGGCCGCGGGGGCCGCGGGCGCCAGGCAGGCCAGGGGAGGAGCGGCCGGCGTGCCTGCACAGCACACAGCCCCCTGGCGGCGGGCAACCCTCCCCTCCGTCGAACTAGGCCACCTTTATTATTTTCCTTTACGTTGGCTTAACCCCTCCCCCCCAACTCTCCTCCCCGACTGGCGCTTTTTGGAGCTACAGCAACAAACTCCCTGTCAGCCCTCCCCCTTCCATCCCCCCGACACCTTGGCACACCAACCTGTCCGGTGGAGGTCCATCTAAACACGACCAGCCCCACCACGCAGAGCCGCGCCACCCCGCCCTCGCACTTTACCGACTTCTCGCGAGGAACACGCAACACGCCTCGTGATTCCTGCTACTGACCGCCCCGCCACCCCCGCCCTTAAAACTAAAGCACTAAAGCTCGACGCTGAACTCCACGGCACGGAAACACAACCATTTAGTTCAGCAGCCCCCCCCCCTTTCTCCACCCCTTTTCCTTTATCCTCGCGTAAGCTACGGAACCTGCATAATTCTGATCGATTTTCTTTTTCCAGTTTGAACAATTGAACACGCATCGCGCACTGCTACCAGGAGACCGCTACAACGCTGTACCCTCGCCAAGCCGCTCGTCCCACCTGTCCTTCTCCAGGGAGCTGCATTCGGACGCGACGTTTCCGGGGGGTCCTTCTTGCATTGCACGACATGCGGGATCGATGTGCAGCCCGGCCCGGGGCACGGGGCCCGCCCGGGCGGGACGTGTCCGATCTGACTCGACCTCCACCGCGACCCCCCGACCCTCCCGCCCCCGCCGTGATAGGTGATGTGCGTGCAAGGCGCGGGCGGAATACCAGACCGCTCCCCCCTCTCTCCTGGCCCCCGTGCGTTTATCAATCAACTGCTGCTGTAATCGAATTTTAGGAGCCCTGATGTCGGTGCATCCCATCCCCATCGCCAACCACCGCACCGCACGGGATTGGGGAAACGTCACGACAACCGTATGCCGTGGCTAGGCTGTGTTACGTTCCGGTTCCTGGTCCCTGGTCGTGACTCTTAAGATGTTGGACCGTACATGATGATGGCTCGACCATCAGCACCCTTTACAGGGTGGTCCATGACCCTTCCTTCATTTTGCTTATACTGTACCGCATGCAGGGGTGCGGGCGGGCTTGCCTACCGTCGCAAAATAAAGGAAGGGGATGGGGATGGGGTCTATGGACCACACTGTGTGTTCTACCGCATGCACGCGTGCGTGCATTTTGTCATGCGGTACAGTATCACTTCGGAAGAGACGCGGCGTGAATCAGCCACCTGCTGGCATTTACAAACTAGTCGGAAGGGAAACAACGAATATGGACGGGCGAATCAACCTGGAATGCGATCTGAGTTGATTTGATTGAACGTTTCGAGGGGGTAGTTACATCGACCCTTCAATTCCCAAAATTTGAGCTAGATCCATAGAGATTTACACTTGAGTGTATGTGCCCTCGCCAGAAGACTTTGCTGTGTCCGGGCTCGGGCTCGAGCGAGTTTGTCCACACGTCTTATGGATTTTTTTGTCCCCCCCTTTTGCCAATTGCCTCCTTTATTGGCCGCAGTGCGGGCGGAGTGCGGCTGAGGCGGAGGCGCCGCCGCCGGGCACGCCCGAAGTACCGCGACGCTTTGGAGCATACGCCTGCCCCAGACTCACTCCGGATGGGGCCATGGGGCCGGAGTGCGTCCGGATACCACTCCATCGCACCTCCTCCGCCCCGTGGGCCCCACCCCACGGTAGTCAGTGGCAACTCGGACGCAGCCAGCACATCACGTCGGGAGGGGCCCAAGCAAGGCCCAAGTGTATGCCATAAGGCACGGTCGGGGAACTATGAATGTCGGCGATTTCCGTTTAGGCGTCGACAAGTTACGCCCCTGGGGCAACATGGCAGGCGGGTGGTCCAGGAGGGCAGGGGCCGCGGCAAGGGCAGAGCAGCACGGCCGGGCGCGCCAAGGCCAGCAGGAGCGGGGCGCACGTATACTGTACTGGCACGACCCCCCACCACGATCGCGATCTAGTAGTGTCACAATGTTCAAGTCTGCCCGGCTCTTTCAAATAAAGGCAGCACGCAGCTCGAGTACGCCGCGCAAGTGTTAATTAGTCATAATTGAAACTCGTCATGTAATATATCACACTTCTTTACTTTAATTTTTTGTAGCCAAAGCTGTCACTGACAACTCTATCAAAACGTAAAACGTGTTGGGTTGGAACATAAGAGGGGTAATTTTTCAACAGGTTTCAATTATTAGCCCTTATATTTCAGTGCAGGAAACAAACAGGGAGTTTACAATTTCGTAAGAGGTTCGTATGGAGCGCACCTGCAGCCCAAAGCACATCATATTACTCCATAACAGTACTCTTTCATTTTCATAAAATTCTTCCAGAAATATATCAACTGAAATTCAAGGTGAATGTTGAGATACAAGAGTACTGTAACTGGATTTCTACTGATATTTGCTCCTTCTGTTAAACCAGAGAGTTTGCAGGAATTAACTATCTATAATGCACTCAGTTCTAGTGCTTGCTGCCCCATCAGTCTATGTCAGTCACATTCGCTGTTCAGTATCCAATTACTCAGGGATCGCTGCAAGGCAAATAGCTACTGTAGTAGGAAGAAAGCGGTATGCAATAATAAATTACTGACTCATCCCACACAATAAATATGGAACAGAAAAAGACAGTTACTATAAATGCATCCAACAATTTTTATGGGTTGAAAAAGGAAGATTCATTTTTGAATTAAACAGACTACATAACCCAACAAGTAGGGAATCTGATATACTTGATAAATAGCCTTCAGAGAAGAATACATTAACAAACATATTTTTTTTTTTTAATTTGCATACCTAAATAATTGATTATCACTTTACGGACAGTAGAAAGCGGAGAAAAATGAGATTGAGTTGATAACTATCACAAGTCATAAATTAATGAAAATGTTAAATCTTCCCAGTCAGATTTCTTCTGAAAAGGAAGAGCCGACTTCATACCCGCGATCTTTAACAAAATGAGCAAGAGGAGCCCATAATTAAAATAATAAATAATCCTTTGTAAAAGACGTTGCTTGAAATGTCTTAACTTTGACTAAGCATTTATCTAATAATTACCTCGTTCTGTGTGGTTCCAAATAACCACACAAGCATTCATGGTTGTAGACAACCATAGAAGTGCCAAACAATACTCCAGCTTGCCATACATTAACTTTCCATTAGGAAACAGCTGCATACAATGGTGTTAAAATAGCAAAAAAAACAACAATAATCTTTGTCTAAGAGACATTCTAAAATAAAACTAAAGAGTAGAATCCATAAAATAAATTTACAGAGGAATACACTAAAAATCAGGGGGAACATCTGGTAGGTCCCCTCACTAGAAGGTCCCCCCCAATTATT